ATCATATATTTCACAAAACTTGACATACATCTCATTCACTTCCTTGCCTAGCATCAAGTCTGTCCAATTATACTCACTAAAAAAATTTCTAAGGTCACCATAATGTCCTCTCGTGAAGTCTGGTTTTTCAACTGCTTCAACCTCCTTATTTTCTTCCAGCTTATAACGCATTGCATACTTTATTCCCAAAAAGACATGGTCACTTTTACCCAAGGGAGGAAGGTACTGAATGTCAAATATCTCTTCCTCCTTCCTGGTAAATATCAAATCTAGCATGGAGGGAACGTCCCCTTCCCTCATCCTCGTAGCTTGTTTAACATGTTGATACAAGAATGTTTCCAGGATGAGGTCTACAAATTTACAGGTCCAAAAATCTTCTGTTTTAGCTTCATATGCTTCCCAGTCTATGGATTTCAAGTTGAAGTCACCGACTATCAACAGTCGTGATCTATCGTTATCCGCTCTCGCTATAATCTCTCTCATTATTGTTATAAGACCTTCACGTTTACTATCTAGCTCCTCCTTTGACCATGTGCTGCTTGGCGGTGGACTATATGTATTTATTATCATTAGTTTATCATCCTCATGGCAGATCTCTAGTGCTATTATGTCAACTTCTTGTGGATTGGCAGTCATTATTTCGTTCACCTTTAGGTGTTCTTTTACCAGTACAGCAACGCCACCGCCTTTCCTAATTTTTCTGTCCCGTCTCCAAATTGAGTAGCCCCTTGGGAATATGACCTCATTTAAAATTACATCTTCAAGTTTTGTCTCCGTGAGTGCAACAATGTCTGGTGTCTGCAGCTGTATTACATCACTTAACTCCAGTATCTTCGATCTCACTCCATCTATGTTGGTGTATGCAATCTTCAGGAACTTGTTCCCCCTCTCCTTATTCTTCACTCCCCCTCTCTCTATTGATTTCGTTGGTTTGCCTTATGTACCACTTTACTGGTTTGCCTACCCCTATCACTTTGTAGAAAAAAAGAATTTATTTCTTCTTCATTCCTGCTCTCATTTAAATGTTTTGCCTCGGCGAGGTTCAGTTTCAGCTTCTCTCTATCTTCTTTTGAAAGATCTCGTCTTAACGACCACCCTTTCCCATCCTCATCCCTTTGCAATTTTCTAGCATTCCTTAGTACTTCTTCCATCTGTTTGGCACCGTTTAGGGTGATCCTCAAAGGTCGATCTTTCCCTTTTACGTACCTGCCTATTCTCCTGTAGTCGCACACATTCTCTCTGGTTGTAAGACCTTCCACGAGGCCAACAATTTTATCTACTACTTTAGCTTCTTCTACAGCTCTTTCTGACCTAGATGTTATCGCCTTTTCTTTGCAGCCAAAAATGATCAGGGACTTACTCCGATCACCTGTGTTTTGCACCAACTTCGGGTTAGATGCCAATTCTTTTCTCACTTCCAGCCTAATGTTTGTTTTATCTTGGTTGCTGCAGTGTTTGACTTCCTTTACTGCTTCTTCTATTTTTTCCTTCTCCTTGGCCACTTGTGCATAAGTGAGTTGCATATCTTTCTTGCACTGTTCTATAGTGATGATCATCTTGTGTCCAATACTGTTGCCTCTTACTGTTCAGCATTGGAAGAGCTGCTCTTATTGGCATTTGGCCTCAATGTCTCTTGTCACCATTTAATGAGGTACCTTGCGTCTTTCACCTCCAGCTAGATATTGCGTCTAGGTCATTGTGCTACCTCAATAGGGTGTTGGTATTTTTCTTCTCCTCGATTCTCAGTTGCCCATTTGATCTGTGATACGTTCTACCTGGATCTAGTTTTGCTGGCTCTTCTGGTTGTCAGGTGGAGGTAGCTTTTCATTCTTCTTCAGAAGTGCAAGTTTTGTTCTTTCAGCCCTCGTGGGGGATTTCTGTTTGCAGCTGTCTCCTTTTCTGATGATGAATGAATCATTTGGCTTCCATAGGGGTGCTATGGTCATTGATGCTTGGCTTGTATGGCTATGGGGTGCATCATTTGTTGTCAGGTTGTGGCTGTCACCACATGCATGGACCACCCGTAGTGCTTTAGTTGATGCATTGTTCCATAATCCAGTTTCCTTGGTTCTCAGGGCCAAGGTTTTGTCTGCTGTTTTCTCCATTATGTCACAGACTGATGTTTGGGCTTGGGGGGTTTTGGATGTCTTTCAAGGTTCTGGCAACTTGCTACCTGGATAACCCTTAAAAAAGGGTTAACCCTTTTTTAAATGGGTTAAACGTTTTAACCCACTTAAAAAGGGTTAAAACGTTATATGAAGTGGGACATTTAGCTCAGATTTTAAAATTTGCTGAAACTCTTTAAATGTTTTGTGCATAATCTACTAGGCAAATGCTCCAACTTTGTCTAAATAATACCAACCTAACTTGAAAACTTGAAAAGATACAGTAATAAAAAATAATTAAAAAATTGAATAATGAAAACTTCATATTTTGAACTCGGCTGCAAAAATATAAAATATCTATTGTTCATTTGGTGTTATTATGCTCTCAGAATAGCACATAATCTTCATTTTCATATATTTAGAATAGAGGTTTTCAGTACAGTCTACGGTAAAAAGAAAATTGTCAATATGGCATTTGAAATATGCGCAAATTTAGACAACAAAAGTGAACAACTCCAAAAGTTTAGGGTTTATGAAAAATCCATTCAATATGGATTGTAGAAAAGACGGCTGTGCACACTATATGTAAAAATGGTGAGAATTGGTCACAAACTTGATTTTTAGATGCTGAAGTAAGTTGAAATTCTAGTTATGGATATTATTGAAGTCAAAGTTATCGATAATGAATAAGGCGGTTCTAATTCATGAATTTACTTGTATGATTTAATAAACATTGTTTGGCATTCGTACTTGAATATGTGAAAGTTGTAGGTCAATATGTGTTGAAATGAAGTCAAGAAAAAATACCCCCCCCCCCACCCTGATGCACGCAGAATGAGCTCACAGCACTGCTGTTCAGCTTGTGACCACAGCATCGCCTAAAAATGCCATAATATACTTGTTCATGCTATTATGTAGCGATGATATAATTACAGAAGACCCCTGACTGTGATAAAACTGACCAGGGTTCTGATAATAGCAGGATTGTGGCGATATTTAACGCTGTGCTCCATGGAGGGAGGAGTAATGCTGTGGGAGGGAGGATGGTGACGTTGTCTTCTGACTGTGTGTGGCCACCTTTAATTGCACTCACCATACCAGCTTAGTGGTTCGCTATGGTGAACACAAATGTAGATACTTATATATAACGTGTGTATAGAGGGTATAAACGGCAATAGGAGTAGGTTGGGAGCCGCCATTTTGGTGAGGGAGGTGGCATCGTCTGCACGACTTATCATGTTGTTTACTGATGACCACTATGGTCTTTGGGCACCATACCAGTTTACTTGTACAAGTATGGTGAATAAAACAGGTAGATATTTATATATAATGTGTGTATATAGCGTAAGAACACCACAAACAGTATTGTTGGAGGAGAAATATTAGTGCGTCTGGCCTTGAGGGCGGCCGCCACCAGCTGACTGTGTGAGTAGCTTCGTCTTTGTGCCTTTACTCACCATACAAGCTTAGATGTACAGTTATGTGAACAAAACATGTAAATACTTGTATATAACATCTGTATATAAAAGCAAAAACAGTATAGTGGGAGGAGAATGGTGGCAAGTCAGGTGAGGTGAGGGAGGGAGGGAGTGGCAGCCAGTGGTGGGCTGCCACTGCCACTGCCACTCAGCATACGAACTTAGTGGCTCGTTATGGTGAACACGAATGTAGATACTTATATATAGCGTCTGTATATAGTGAATAAAAGCAAAAACAGTATTGTGGGAGGAGAATGTGGGTGAGTCAGGTGACTTGAGGGAGGGCATGAGTGGCTGGCTGGTACACGGCGGTCACTCCTCGTTACTTTTTGACTCATAATAGCAACTTAGTGGTTCGTTATGGTGAACAAAACAAGCAGAAACTTATATATAACCTGTGTATATAGTGTAATAACCGACAAAGTATTTGTTCACTGTTTGATGAACATAATTGAATCAACAATATGCACACCATATTTTTGAGTACAGCGATGATTCACTCATTTTATTATATAAATATATCACACTACACACTATTGAATAATATTACAGCAAAAAAAACTATGAAAAATCAATCAGAGACATTGAAATAATTAGGTAATTATCTCTTTCTTTGTGGCAACTCCGGCCTGACAGCTGACGAGCAACAGACCGTCTGGTCTGTTGCTTCCTGAACTATAATGTTGCCGTGGGCTGAACTATAATGAGCCATACCCAAGACCCACAAGGCTTGCCAAGCCCTGAAAGTAAGGACCAAGCAGGCCCAGGAACATTTGTAGAAAGACCTGATACCAAATGTAGCCATCAGGATAAGCACGACTATAAAGGGTTTCAATGACATGTTGTATATACAAGCATGCAAACCTTAGTGCACCCTGCAACAACAATCCCCAAATGCTCCCAACCATAGGGCTCTGCAGAGGAGTCGAAGATCCTTGTACAACCCCAGGGTGAGGCACACTACATAGTAGTACAGCCTCTTGGGCAAACTCCGAAATTTACAAGACATCACTGTCAGGGCAGAGACAACGTCAAATGAGTGCATAGGGAAGGGCTGCCCTAGACACTATTTGGTTACCCCTTAATAATGAACTTAAGCTCAGTTTTATTATCAATTAACAAGTGTTCCCAAAACACTTCACAAAAACCCCAAAATTGATACATTATTCAATTTTTAAAAGCGTTCACACTTTATGAACCAAACTTGATTATTTTAAGTTTCAAGTCAATATGTGAAGGACTTCAAGGTAGTAAAAGAAATACACAAAATAATTAAAAATAACATGACAAAACCATAAATCATCATAGGAATGACCTAACAATAAGAAATTCATAAATGTTCTTAATGAACTGATTCTCTATATGAAGTGTAGGTCACAGTTCAAGAGCAGCAGCAGCAGTAGTAGTAGTATCATACCTGATCTTTTGAACATCTACACTGGAATCAACAAAGAGAGAAGCCAAAGCAGATTTTCCAACCCCTTGCATCCCCATCATTGCCACAACCAGAAAATTGCTTTGGTCCAGCAGGTATGGGCTGAGGTCGTCGCACAGACTGAGAGACTCGTCCAACAGACGCGCTGGGCCCTTCATAACCCTCTCTGGAGTGAGGGAAGCTGTGAAGATAAAAGTGATTCAGTTTTACATCTATATAGCATATTTTGATCAATTATTACAAATACTTTAAAGCGAGGTCATCAAACATGTGGCCCATCGCCCTTTTATGTGCAGGAAACTCACTCGCTGCTACAACCACACCTTAACCATCCAACTCTTATGTTAAAAATGCAGCATATGAATTGGAAAATTAATTTAAAAAAATTAATCAACACAAAAGTAGTGTTGTGTTCACTAAAATGTTGTGCATGTAAGCCTGTAACGTAGGATGGTTGTGAATGTCACTCCAGTAGACTTCAGTTATTTATGACTTAAGTAGACTATCAGATGAATTTTGTCACTTAAAAGTAAACACCTCAATTGCATTTTCTATTGCAATTGATACGAGTAGATGTAACCTATGCAGCAGAACTTGTAATTTTTATACATGGTGTTGATGGAAGTACAGTATGTAGTAACAGAAGAGTTTGTTGCATTAACACCAATAAAAGGAACACTAGGTTATTATATTTTTTACAAGTTTGATAAGAGGCACTGGAAAAATTAAGAGTTGATAAAAAACAAAATTTGCAAATGTGTTTAAGGATATAGCACATGAATGATGACTAGAAAAGCTGGAGTAGTTACTAAATTCAAATAAAATTTACCAGCTGAGAATACAAACCAAAAATTTTGCAATTTCCACTGAATTATACAGTGAAGTGCTCTGTATTAAAACATTAACCCTTAAACCTCTAAATGCTGTACCATAAAACCAGCGTTGAATGTAATGAAACGCCATTTTCTGGGTTAGTCCCGGAGGCTCCGCGGAGCTATTCATGGCTGATATGGATACATCAGTCGATGTAGGTGGAGTTCTAGCCTACTGGGGACCACGAGCCAGAACTTGGCCCCGCTCACAGAGGCACAAGGAGCAATGGCCCATAGAAATGCACATGTGATTTGGAGCATTCTATAATTGCCATCGACCAGGACAGACACCCAGAAAGGAAAGCGCCACAAAACAAACCCCTTTTCTGGTTAACAACAAATATTGTCAAACGAGTGGACAGAACTCCCCGAAAGAAAAACAAGCAAACAAGCAGTGAGCCGGTCGGCCGAGCGGACAGCACACTGGACTTGTGATCCTGTGGTCCCGGGTACGATCCCGGGCGCCGGCGAGAAACAATGGGCACAGTTTCTTTCACCCTATGCCCCTGTTACCTAGCAGTAAAATAGGTACCTGGGTGTTAGTCAGCTGTCACGAGCTGCTTCCTGGGGGTGGAGTCCTGGTCGAGGACCGGGCCGCGGGGACACTAAAGCCCCGAAATGATCTCAAGATAACCTCAAGATAACCTCAAGAAGCATGACATCCCAAAGCCGGTTGTAATCCTGTATGTATTCAGGTAAACTGGGTCATTACATTCAACGCTGGTTTTCTGGGGGGAGCCCCTTTGGCTCTCCGAAGCTAACTACCCACAGAAGAAAAACATTGGGACTTACCCGGGAGGCGGCCGTTGCTAAGGCGAGACAACTGCAGCCAACACGAAGGCGAGACAACTGGCTGCAACCGCCGACCCAAAACAACACAGGCCCGACAAGGCCCCGAGACGTGCACGAGGCAACGAGCAGCCAGGACCCTGTTCGACCGCCAAAAGCCCCATGCCCGAGTGTCAGCCCAGGACATGGCGCCAAAGACGGCAGCAAGAGCAGCAACCTTACGAACGTCATGGGCACGGGGATAGACCACAGACTGGCTGGCCTGAAGAACTCTGCAGATGACCTTGGAGACCCGCACCCGTGAACAGGGAAGAAAGGAAACCGGATCAACCAAAAGCGCGTCCCCGGACACAGAAGCTGTGGCGCGCAATAACGGCGAAGAGACGCCACCGGACACAAAATATGATGCACCCCCAGGCCCAACCAAGCATCAACAACCCAGGGACCCTCCGGAAAGCAGCAGTCCCATTCTTCGCCAGAAAAGAAGGAAACAGCTGCAGACGAACAAAACCAGTACGAAGACCGAAAGAGCAGAAACCCCTACGCCAGAGGAGAGCATAAAGCTCCCCAACCTGTCACCCCAGAGGTCAATGCCAACAGAAAACAGAAAAATGCCTTGGAAAACAGTCCTGAACCGAAGGGGCCACAACAAACCAAGGAGAAGAAAAGAGCACTCTGTCCAATGACCAGGACGGCTCAAGCGGCACAAGAGAAGGCCGGAGGGAAACAATGCACGAGACAGCTTGTGAAACAGCACAGAAGTAACATCAATACCGAAAGTAAGCTGAAGCGGCTCTGCCAGCGCCGCACGATACGAGGCGACAGTATGGGGCAAGATGACGGCCCCAAACCTCCACAAGAGAAGACCACGCCAACAAACGCAGCTACCAAAGAAGGGACAGAAGGAAAAGGAAGGACCGCCAAAAACTCCACACTGCCACCAAGAAGAAGCACGCAGGTGGGACACCATCAACGAAGCCACCCGACCACCAACAGAAGATGAAAGACTCGAGGCAGAACCGAATCGGCCCCGCCATGGGCCAATTGAGCCTAGAAAGAGGCGGAGCCGCGGGAAGATCTCGGGTGCGACCATCACAGAGCCAGCAGAGTCGGAAACCTAAGCCGACAAAGGAGGAGATGGAACGTCCGCAGTACAGAAAAGCATCCCAACACCCGCGAGCCCGCCAGGAGATCGGAGACGACAGTCCTGACACATGATTCTAGAGACAGGAAAAAAGTGTAAAGGTATGCCACCAGACCAGTACCCAAACCAAGGAGTACAAACGACGAGGACATGATCACCACATTGAGGAGTCCCATAGGAAGGGATAAGGCACTGAAAGACAGACTACGGGACCCCAGGGGCATGCGCACCAAGGGACACCGGTGGAATGAGAGCCCAAACAAGCCAGAGAGACATGGGAAAGAAGTATCGCAGTGTCAGGGTAGAAGACAAGCGGAACGCATGAGGAAGCGATGTGGTGGAGGATGACACCACACACAGCTTCAAGTGCAGATATGATAAGAGCCCAGCAGGCCCAGGAACCTGCTCGTGAGCGAATGACAGGTGAGAAGCGGGACCAAAAAGCCAGAATTCAACTCCCGCAAACACAACTACGTAAGGACAATGAGGTAAGTACCATACAGAGAAACCAATGTATATGGAAGGTCTAAGCCAGGCACTGCAAGACGTGCAAGGAAAGAGTGACCCAGATAAGACTACGAAAAACCGGGCCCTGACCCCCGTGCAACCATTAACTCAGATGAACAAGTAAAACCCCAGGAAGCACAGAAAGGCCAAATAAAAATCCACAACCAATCCCCAACACACATCCACAGCATGAAAACAGTAGTAAAATGCCCCCTCAAAACATCCAGACAGGAACACTTACGCCATAACATACACCCCCACCACTGTACCTCGTAACCTGGTGGAGGTGAGGCCCTTATCTGGACTCAAGCATGGACTGGACATGCATAAGAGTGGGACTGGTGGGGTATAAATAAGAGCCGCCTCGTACGGTCCAATAGGCCTGCTTCAGTCATCTGTGGTCCGATGTTTGGATATACGTATCCCAAAACACGAACCAGCACCTGGCCGAAAAAGATGCCAGACCGCGTAAACTCGCCTGCAGAACGTAGGCACGAACGTGTCAACACAACGTAGCCGAGAAGATTCTGGGAGCACCGCCAGTGGAAGAAGGCAGAGCTGCACAATGCAGGAGAAGAGGAGGGTAGAGGCGAAAGAGGAGCCACACACCCATACGCAGGGATAACACAGCGTCCTCCCCATAGCAGCACGCCCCCAAGAGCGTCCTCTCCAGAACGCCCCCAAGAGCTACGGGACACAGACTAGAGAATTGAGAAGAGCGAAAAGCGAAGCACCCAAGAGAAAAAGGGACGCAAAACCCCAGCACATGTGCACACCGCCCATATCAAAACAAACAACCATGGCGCATGTGCAGCAAGGATGCCAGACGTGGGTCACCAGAAGTCGTAAGCTGAAGAAGAAACCACGAAAGAGAGAAAAAAAAAAAGAGAGAGACAAAATAGTGTTGTTAACGACCGAATCCCATATGAGAGTACACAGAGCAGCCGCCAACCATACTCGAAAAGAGCAGGAAGGAGCAAAAAGAAACATAGCACAGCTTCCAATTTGGGCTACAAGGAGCCCAATCTGGCAACCCTGTGCATGGAGACAAGAGACAAACAAAAAAGAACGAAGCAGGATCGAAAACAGAGAAGCTTGGAGAAGGACCAACAAGCCCCAGAAAGGACTGGAAGACGACAGACGTTCCAAGAATATGGGAAGAATAAAAACCAACCCGATGCTTCTAGAACATAAAGAAGCAGGCACGAAGCACGAAGGCACGGAAAACAAAGTCGCACCCGAGACCAAAAGTCATGCAGATTCCTGAGAAGAGGGGAACAAAACTGTGAAGGCCCGTCATCAGAAGAAGGGTAGAGAAACGGACTCAACGGAACCAAGGGACAAGGAACTGATCCTGGGGAGGGGCTGACTCCCAAAAACATGTATGGAGAGGGGAGGGGGTTTAAGAAAAAAATCCACTCCTCGTAATCGCGAGCCCCACCCAGAGGGCAGAAAAACCCAGTCGGGGTCGAAACGTCAGCCCCCCACCAGTCCCGGGAACCCACTAGGCAGGTCCTGGGGCCAAGCCGTTCCCCCAAAGCCCCAGCCTCAAAAGAAAAGCCCGGGAAACCAGACAAGAACTAAAGAAAGGAGCCCACTGGCAGACTCATACAACACAGCTGGAGGGACAGGCTCGAATGCCTCTGTCGCTCCCCGGAAGGGGGAATCCCCAAGACTGCCCGAGTCTAAAGACCAGCGAAGCCCCGCCCCGAACCCACAAACGGTAAGGATCCGGATGCAGGGAGGTAGGGGGGGGGAGGGCCATAGCAGGGGGAAAGACAAGAGGGCACGGAAGGAACAAAACCAAAGCATCCAACACTCCCAAGTCCCGTCACACCAACCAAAACAGGGCAGCCCCGGGGCTCCCGGGAAGCAAACTACCTAGCGTGTTGCACCACCGACACTCAACTTGCAACGCCCGTGTTGCTTGCATCCGCATAGTCAGCATAAGACTGGGTAATCGAGCCACAAACAAGCAACAAACCTCGCAGGGCTCTGGACCAAAGGTGTCACCGACCCCACAGGCAGCAAACGGAGGCGAAACAGTGAGTCACCCTGAGACAAAGGGACAGAGCAACCCTCGAACCCGCACAAAGCGAGGGAGGGGGGGCTCCGGGCCATATCCATCAGACCCACGCTCCTCCTTGGGGTTTCCCAGGGTCCTGAGCGTTTACCTACAGGGACTCTCACCCAGGTAATCCCAGGCAGGGTACTGCAAACCGGTCCCCAAGTCTACCAAACAACTTTCTAAGAACTTAACCCCCGGGACGCGTACAATCACAAGGACCTAGCAGGGGGAACCACCGGAAGAAGGAAGAGTACTCAGTACACTGGGGGTAAGAGCCAAGGCAGAATCCACCCCCCACCAGGCAAAAAAAAAAAAAGGAAAACCCTGCAAGAGAATAGCATACCCACGCGGAACAGAGCTGGCCGATGTGATTGGTGAAAACAACCTGCGCAGTATCCTGGGCCCCACCAGTGCAAACCGCCCCTTATCCCAAGGCAAACAAGGGAGACAGAACACCCTACCACACAAGGGGTGGCAGAAAACCAAACAGTAAATGGCCTAGCAGGGGAAGAACCCAAGGAACTTGTGGAAGGTGGCTCCAAGCTCCAAGGGCAGTACTGTACTTACAGGGCACCTAAGGAAGGAAACCCTAGGCGCATGCAGCCCGAGTACTGGAGAATCACTCCTGGCTCACGCACCACCTAGAAGACAGTCACCACACTCTAGGTACAGTGATGAAACAACCACCGGAGCCAGAACACACGATCTCAGCCTCTAGCATCGGCCGAAGAACTGATGGTGGATAGTCGGCGCGGTAGGTCTGGGGCTTCCCCTTCTCCCTCCCGGAGAGGGGGGGAGCTGTACAGACAGCGGTGCAGCGACGTGTGATGTCGTGATCGTTTGCTCGTTTCTTTTTGGGTAGTTCTATCCACCTGTTCTGCTTGTGGTAGCAATTTTCACCAGAATAGGGGTTTGTTTTGGGACGCTTACCTTTCTGGGTGCCTAACCCGGTCGAAGGCAGACATAGAATGCTTCCAACCACACGGGGGGTTTCTATAGGCCATTGCTCCCCTTGCCTCTCTGAGGGAGGCCAGGTTCTGGCTCGTGGTCCCCGGTAGGCCCATAGAACTCCATACACATGACTGATGCCAAAGTCTGACATTAGCATATCAGCCTGGATAAGCTCCGGGGGAGCCGAAGGGGCTCCCCCACAGAAAAAATTGTTTTAAACACAACTCACCTTCCATCATAAGAGGCTTTGATGCTATTTGGTATTGTTGGTTAGATGAAGTAGATCCAGGGCTCACAGTAGGGGCTGAGTCCTTCCTGAAACAATATTTATTACCAAGATAAAATTTTACTGTGGAAGAACTAAGATTTTTTTTATAAAGACTTCCAGTTCTACTAGAGGCTTCACTGTTTGGGACCTTGTGTCAAACCCGATTGCAGGGTAATATACTTAAGAAGGAGGTAGGGGGGGGGTGGTAAGGAGAAGCAAATTTAAGAAACACTACTTTTTCTACGTGCTGAAAACTCGTTAAATTAACAGAAAAATCTCTGCAACAGCAAAATAATGCCTGAAGACATTTGATAAAGGCACTATACTTAATTGCAACTTATCTCAAGACGCAACAAATTGGAGTTCATCCTATGCAAATGAGATTTATTGTGCAACTCATTTCTGACAGGTCAGTGGACACTCAGTTATAGGCAGATTTTCAATGGAATACAGCAACTGCATACAGCTCGTGTGTTGATACACACGAGCTGCAGCCCGTCCTCCAAAAATGGGGTGGTAAATGTAAGAAGACAAATTAGTGCAATTATGTACTATTCATAGCAGTTAGGAATTGTACTTATTTTCACTTAGTATTAAATCGTACTGTCAAATATATTGTGAATATTTGGGTTTACCTGAAAAACTGAATAGAAAACCACAACCTCACCTAACCGTCTTAGTTTTTGAAGATGATAATTTTATTGCTTCTTAATTAAAATTAGTACTTAACCTATAGCTATATTGATATTACAGTTTTATAAAACTAATAAAACAAAACTAAAATATATCAATAAATTGTAAAGTAACTCAGGATATTTTAAAATTTTGTATAAAATCTATTTTGTTTAATAAACCTGAAAAAGAAATTCCCGATATTTAAAACTTGTGTATTGCAAATTGAAATTGAAAACTTCATCCTAAAATTCTGAGTGTCTTAACAGAAAACGAGGAGAATTAAATCGGGGGAGGGAGTTGGGTAAATGTAACAGCCCCATAAGTGCAATTATGCACTGTTTATGACAGTAAGAAAGTGTACTTATTACACTTAGTATTAAATCGTACTGTCAATTCGGAGGATGGGTTGCGAGCTGTGTATCAACACACGAGCACTTTACCTCCTTGATAGGATGTGACCTGTCTTACATATGCCATTTGGAGATATTGCACATAGAGGTAGTGCTTCATGTGGTGCAGGTTGCATGGTGGTGCTGCATGCTCGAATAATGGTCTAATATATGCAATGTATGGGTTTGAAACCTCCATGTTTAGTTTCTTTAATGGTGTTCTAATGTTTGCTAACTTCCAATACACTGCTAACTTGTTCACATGTGTTTCTGGTAAGTGTTGCATTACATTTACTCCCAGGTCTTTATTGGATATTGAAACAACACTTGGCTTTTCCAGATTTCCAGTAGCTCTCCTATGAAAAATGTGATGTTGAATGCTATAGTTAATGGGTAGCACAAGCTCCCTGCAGCTTCCTTTAGTACCCATGTTGATATCTGATATCTGATATCCAGATATTTTTTACCTCTTCCACATAAGCTTCAATTCTGTCTAGTGGTGTTTCTGGTTTTCTGTTTTCATCCCTACTTAGACACCAATCTGGTTACAGACCTTGTTATAACTATGAATTTGGTGAAAAAATGTTTACAAATGAATGCTCTAGATTACAGGTACAGAAGGTCAAAGGATATTTCCTCGTCTATTTAACACTTCTGTTCCATAAAAATTTTGAACACCTAAAAATAAATATTCCTTTCATTATAAAATAAAATCTTATAAGGGCATTCAACAGGAAATTGAAAGGTGAAAATAGGGGCGGGAGGCAAAGCCACATTTCCCAATATATTTTCCTTTTAAATTTTCATGGTATTCTTCATGATTTGGAATTCAACTTCAATGTTTTAATTAAACTGAAGTGTTTGATTCTGTATGTTTATGCTGTGCCCTTGATCCTTCAACCTTCTCTAGCCAACGTAACAGGAAGAATGTTTACTTTTTTTGTCAACTTACCTAGCAGTAATTATGGTAGGATTTGGTGAAGTGGAACGCTGCTCACTGTTGCTACGAGCACGAGAGAGTATGACTGGTGTTGGTGTCCCGACACCAGTATTTTGAGAGCTTTCTCCTTCAACCCCGTCACCATCCATTATTCGTCCAGGTGGGCGTCCAGCATCCCCTAAGAATATGGCATTCCTTGTCCCCTCATTGATCCGGAGTACACCACCTGTGCCTCCACTACCACTGTAACTTCCCCTTTTCTCCCAGTCATCATGGTACCGCCCCACACCCCGCTTCTCCCAATTGTGAGTGTGATGGGAATGGTCATAGTGACTGTAGTTGCTGGATCCCCCCTTGTAGTCATGGGGCGGCTTGCCCAACACCTGGATCACAGGTGCTCGCATGTTGTCAGACAGAAAAGTTTCGTACTCCCTATCAGGCTGAAAAAAAAAAGTGTCATTAATATACATCTGTGTAAAAAAAAAATACTTTTGAACATAAAGTACTATAATATTTAATAATTTTAAAGCATTATTTTAAGTTAAGAAATGTGCAACATTAATATAATATCTTGCTAAAGTTAATGTAAATATTGCCTTAACCACCGTGCTGTGCGGCCTTAAAATGTGACATTCCCGTGGTGTGCCAAAAATAGATTCTTTGCAAAAAATTATTTTATCTTCTTATAATGTTAAATGCAGACTCTGATCACAGAAAAACAAGACAAAAAAAGTTGAATGTGGAATGAGACCCGGAGGCTCCCCAGAGCTATCCAGGCTGATATGGATATTAGACTTTGGCATCAGTCATGTGAATGGAGTTCTAGGCCTACCAAGGACCATGAGCCAGAACCTGGCCCCCTCAGAGAGGCATGAGGAGCAATGTCCTACAGAAACCACCATGTGGTTGGAAGCATTATATGTATGCCATCGACCAGGTCAGCTCCCAGAAAGGTAAGTGCCCCAAAATAGACCCCTATTCTAGTTAAGAAATTGCTACTGAAAGCCGAAGGAGTGGACAAAACTCCCCAAACGAAAACGAGCAAATGAGCATGACGTCACCACGTCACAACTTCGCAGCGCCGCTTGTCTGCGCAGCTCCCCCTTCCCCAGAAGGGGAAAAGGGAAGCCCCAGACCTCCGTGCCGGCTATCCACACCTCCAGTTCTGAGGCTGGATATCAAAAACACACCTAAAACCGACGACCGGAGGGAGGGAGGGAAGGAGTGTTGCCGGGAAGCCTCCGGGTCTCACCCAGAAAATGGCGTTTCATTACATTCAACGCTGGTTTTCTGGGGGTAGCCCCATCGCCTCCCAGAGCTATGTACCAAAAGACAAAAGCAAGAGGGACTTACCTGGGAGACACTCGCACCTCAACTGGAAATCGAGACAACCGGCTGCAACCGTGGACCAAAAGCGACATAGGCCCGACTAGGCCCAGGAACATTGAAAAGGTAGCGAGCGGCCAGGACCCTGTTCGATCTCCAAAAGCCCTGTGCCCGAATGTCAGCCCAAGACATGTTACCGAAGATGGCAGCCAGCGTAGCAAGCTTATGAACGTCGTGGGCATAAGGATAGACAGCAGGCCGGCTGGACCAAATAACCCTGAGGACGACCTGGGAGACCCGAACCCTGGAACAGGGAAGAAGGGAAACCGGGTCAACCCAAAGTGCGTCCCCAGCCACAGAGGCCGTGGCGCGCAGGTAACGGCAGAGAGCCACAACTGGACACGACACATGATACACCCCCAGCCTAACCAACCAAGCATCAACAACCCAAGAACCCCTCCAGAAAGCAGCCGTCTCATTCTTCGCCAGGAAAGAAGATGGCTGCAAATAAACAAACCTACCACGAGGACCAAAAGAGCAGAAACCCCTGTGCTAGAGGAGAGCATGAAGCTCCCCGACCCGACCCCCAGAGGCCAATGCCAATAGGAAAAAAGCCTTGGAAAACAATCCTGAACCAAAGGGGCCACCTGAAACCAAGGAGAAGATGGAAGAGAGAGCACCCGATCCAATGACCAGGACGGCTCAGGCGGCGCATGAGCAGGCTGAAGGTGAAACAACGCACGAGACTGCTTGCGGAAAGGCACAGAAATAACATCAATGCCGAACGCAAGCTTCAGAGGCTCTGCCAGCGCCGCATGATACGAGGCAACAGTATTCAGAATAAGATGACAGTCCTGGAAAGGAAAGACAAAACCATCGGGTGGTTTGGAAAGACAAAAGATCGGGTGGTTTTGTCTTTCCTTTCCATGAAAGGAATGACAAAACCACCCGATCAGAGACAGAAGTACAGTACAGCTATGAAGGGACAAGAAATAACAGAAGGACCGCCAGGAAACTTCATACTGTCACCGAGACGAAGCACGCAGGTGGAACACCATTAAAGAAGCCACCTGCCCACCATACAAATGGTCATAGACTCGAGTAAAAATGACCAGACTCAAGGAAAAAATTGAACCAGCCACGTAGCTGGCTGGTTCAGTAGGAGAAAAGAACCACAAGACCAAAGCGAACAGGCCACGAGTACGCAATACCTCAGCAACCAGTGCAGCCGAAAGAGAGGGAACCCTGCATGTGAAGCTGCACCATGCCAACATCCCAAGGAAGGGAAGGGGTGAACAAGCATGCAGTGAGGTGCTCAAACTCGCCCCAAGGCAAACCTGGACCAATGTCCCAGCCTCATGCCACTCTAGCGTGCGGGACCGACATCACATATACCAGGCCTCCAATGACAAAATAGGGTAGTCCGCTAGCCAAGACGACTCCTGAACCTCACAACGAAGCCAGTATGGTACTGAAGATCCAAACCTGAACGAAGAAAGATCTATTATCTAGGCTTAATCTGGGTCATGCAGGAGGTAAGCCACAGTAAGCCTCCGGAAGGATGGGACCGATGGACCCGAAGGGACACGGAACTGAACCCAGGAAGGGACTGACACTAAATCCATCTCATACAAGGAGGGAAGAAAAGAAAAGTAAACAAACCCCTCTCAGAGGCCACAAAAACCCAAGGGCACATAAACCCAAGCTGGATCCAACAGGGCCCAAGACCACCATGTCAGCCCCTCCCCTGCCCCGGGAACCTCAACAGCAGGTCCCAGGGCCGAGCCATCCCCCCAAAGCCTCAGCCTCAAGAAAAAGCCGAAGCAGCCGTAAAAGCTGGAAGGAAAGAGGCCCACCGGCCAGACCACATATGCTTCGGCAGGATAAACAAGCTCAAATGCCACCATTGCCACTCCATAAGGGGCATCCTACGAGACCGTCTGAGTCTCTAACCCAACTAAACCCTGTCCCGACTCCGAAACCCTCAGACGCTTCAGAGTTGGAAGCAGGAAGGGATGGGGGGGGGGGGAATGACCAGAATGAACTACAGCAGGGGAAGGACAAGGTTTGTCCTTCCCTCAGGAAGGGAAGATGAAGGTGGACCTGGTCCCCTCAGAGTGGCAAAGGCAGCAATGGCATACAGAAGCCCCAATGTAATTGGGGGTATTCCATGTCTGCCATTGACCGGGGTTGGCACCCAGAAAGGTAGGCATAATGAAACAAACCCCACTTGGTAAGAAATTGCGACCAAAAACCGAACCTGGAGGCAGAACTCGCCCTACAACTTAAGGAAACAAGCAAACATCACACCTGTCCGTGCAGCTTCCCCACACTGATTACCCAAGCCATCCAGTGTGGATGCTAAGCATCAAAAAGGAAGCGAAATCACCAACCGGAGGGGAGGGAGGGAGGGTTGCCATAGAGCCTCTGGGGCTCACCCAGAAAATGGTGTTTCATTACATTCAATGCTGGTTTTCTGTGGGGAGTCCCAATGACTTCCTGGAGCTACATCACCAGAGAAGGAAATAGGGACTTACCCGAGAGGCAGACGTGGAAGACGTGGATACTTTCACTGTAACGGGGGGGGGGGGGGGGTTTGTTGGATTGTGTAGAAAATCAAAAACAAAGTAAAAAGGAAGAAGGAGAGAGGAGGAGGGAAGAGAAGAGAGGGGATGGGTGGATAGAACATGGGGGAGGTTGAGGCAGGAACTGAGGTGGAGAAGAGGCGAGCGGGAATAGAAAACAGGAAGCGAACGGGAAGAGGGGAGGCAGGAGGGAGAGAATGAAGGAGGAGGAGTAGAGTGATGTAGGAGGAATAAGAAGAGTAGGGAGAGTAGACTGAACTTGTTTCTATCTATGATCTATGAATGATGTTATTCTAAGATGTTCTGAAGTTTGCTGCCACCACCTGTCATTGAATCTAAATTCACTTCCACTTAAAACAATGCGACAGGAACACTGCTTAATTTAGTTATCTCTCACTTTTTCATCTAGATATCTCTCTAGCCTTAACTCTTACTTGAGTGGACATTGATTCAAAAAGAGGACTAAACAAAAGTCAAGTTTGTTATTCTACACAGATATTTATTGAATCCAAATTTTCTCAAATTATTCCAATTAACACTTTGACATCCTACTATTTAACACAATATTGACCAAATTAAAAGGGGTAGGGGGGGGGGATCACCCACTCATACACGCCCACACCATACATGGCTAAATGGTTCAGACTCCACTAGCTCGTCACCACAAAGACACCCAATCAAGACAATGCATTACTGACACTCTTACCTCACAACTCAGACGGATACACCCTGAGGGTGCCTGGAGTGTCACCCGTCAGGGTGAGGAAGACTGGCTGGTCACCTTCTCTCTGTGCAAGGCGGTTGCTAACAAAATCTACCAGCCATCCCCAACGTGGGGGAAGCTGTGTACTCTCTTCCTCATGCCCAAATAAGGCCTGAGAAGCAAAACTAACCCTTATAGGACCCAGGCAGGTCCTGCAGTACACAAGGCCCCTCTTTGTTCAATAGTGCCATCAGCACAAGCCAGGCCGGCCCACTCCTCCACTACCGCACGCCACCTCACCAACACACACACACGCACGCACACACACGCACGCACCCACAATTATAACTCACAATTATAATTCACAATTATACATGAAAGAGTGCAAAATACTTGCACTGTTACATCACACACATATTTGTCTTTCTATTTAGAGCATTTTATTGTGAATAATTTGATACCACAATGAACAATGTAGCACAAAAACTTCTGTTAGCAAACTGTATGTGTTTGTCGGGTGTATTGGGTGTAGCGGGTGTGGCAATGAGTGTGTTCTAGCGGGTAAGGCTTTGGCGACTTTAGGGGTCGTTGCGGGTTATGCGCCCCATGTTGTCTAATTTATATGCATATGTCTGTATAGGGAATTTTGTTGTGATCACAATGATACAGTAAAGAACAATGTCGAACAAGTTTGGACTTGATAAACCTAAAAAGAGTAGCAACATGTTCGCGCTGTTTGCCGTGCACGGCTAACAAACGACTTAGTTTTTTGTTTGGTGCCGGCATCACGTTAGCTTTGGTGACATGTTATACATGTTCCTCTAGA